TGCTGCAGCAGTCATGTTCACCCTGGGTGTGATTTCATTGGTCGTTGGCGGGGTTTGCAGCTTGGCTGGTCACATTTCAGCTGAAGAAGTTGCCAGACACTTGCCAGAAGACAGGATCTTTGACCCTCCTGAAGATTCCAAAGCAGGTCTCAGACATTTGAGTTTGGTGCCAAAGCTGGAGTGGACAGGCTTGGCATTGCTCATCACTGGGAGTGAGGAAATAAATGCAGTAGAATCTCAATACTGTACAACAAAAATATTCCATTCAACAATTTGTTTGTCCCTAACCCATAGCCACAATTTTATTTCAATTTTTTCGCAAAAGTTTTTATCTAAAACAAAGGTCTTCCAAGGTTTCAAAATTATTTTTCAAAGTTTATTGAAATTAGATTCCATTGCAGAATGCTGCATAGTCAAACTTCTTTCAGTCAATCTTCACATAACCAGCAAACATTCTGAGTTATCAAAGTTTCTAGCAACAGAAGCAAGCATTTTTGTTTTTGAAAAAAGAAACATTTACAGGAAATTGTAATTTGGCATATTCTTGGCATTAAATTACAGTACTTTCTGAGTGCATTGACAGGATACTGAAGTTGAAAACAAGGGTTTATTTTTGCAATTAGCATTTCATTGCCTTTCAAAATGCACTAACGTGCATTTTTTATTGCTTTTCTCTTTCCAGTATCAAGAAAATAATAGCCAAAAGCCCTCCAGTTCCACTTTGGTCATTAATTGAACCATTGATGTAAAGTAACATGAATACACAGGTATATAAAATGATCATCAATTTGACAATTTTCTTAAAATAAAGTTTTCAGACCTGTCTACAGGAATAAATTATCCTTGAAGCTCAGTGTCTGAATTAATATCCCAGGAGGTCTTAAGTTTATAGTCATTGTGCATGTGTTCAGGTTAACTTATGCGTATTTTCTGAGGAAAGTGTGTCCTCATGATGTAATAATAATGATGAATTATAATGCTGATCATAACTCGCCAGATTATACAAAGGTAGTGTATGCACAGTACTTATTCGTACTTGTTTCCAAGAAAGGGCATAGAAACCCTCTATGCATAAAAGAGATACGATCTCCTGGGTCATGTTATTGCGTCAGAATAACTTTGAGCAGTCATTCTTCGTTTCCATAGAAATGTAAGAAATGCATCAGCGTTTCCATGTCAAACAAAATCCAAGTGAGTTTGTTCCACCGTAGTTATACCGAGATAAATTTGTCGCGTTCTTTGGTCAAATGATTCATTGAAACTTGTTCTTCATATCTGGAAATCCTGAGAATAACTCGGAATTTTTCATTGAAAGGCAATAATTTATTTATCTGGGATTCAGTTCGATGAAAAATGTAAATTACTCATTCAAAGTTTCCCGGAAAAATTTCTGCAGGTACTTTTTTGTTATTCGCAAACGCCATCTTCGTATGGATATGCTTGTCGGAAACTGGCAAACAAAGATCTCAGCTTGCGGATGAACACGGCCACACTAATATTGCGGATGAACAAGGATTTTCAAATTACCACGAGGAACTCGAGAATAAGCAGCAGGAAGTTGGTTTTGGCCAGCAAGATCAAAATAATAATGCTTATGATCACACTGGGTCTGATGATTTTGATGATTACGATGACGACACGGTTTCCAGCATGGCTAAGGGCAAAGTCAGGTTCACTGGGGTGTCCGAGAAGCCAAAATCTTCCCTAAGGTCAAAAATATATTTATCTCCGAAATAATTTAATGATTGATTACAAGAATGAGGGTTTCCGCATTTACAGTCCATTTTCTGAGAATCATTTCTACAGTCACACCCCAATAAGATGCAAACATTTGTTCTGAGAAGTGGTTCGAAGAGTTTGGCACGGTTTGTCACAGAAATATCATTTTTTTAAATTATTTCGTAAACTTGACGAACATTTTGAGTAATACAGCAGATAGATAAAACCTAAATATTGCAGTGATTATAATTAGATGAATTTTTATTTTGAAGAAAAAACACAACACAATTGCTATTGTTTCACTGCATTATACCAAGATTTTTCCTTGTTTTGCCAAAAATATTTAAAACAGTTATGCAAATGTAAATTAAGCTGATGTAAAGGTTTTCTAAAAGGAAATATTTCAATTACATTTTAATATTTTTTTCTTTCTAGAAAGTCAAGATCGTGAGAAAAAGCCCTTTGATCGTACTTAAAATTGGTGGAGTGAAGAATACATTCACTTCCGTTTTGCCAATAATATTGGCGGATGGCAGTTAGCATCTTATTGTGGTATTCTAGGCTTTTCAACATTTTCTTTCAACCGGGGTTTGACTGTAGGTTCCTAAAGTAATGTATGCAATTCATGAAACAGTGTACGCAAATACAGTACATATCACATATGCGTGAGACACGCCCTTTCTTTTTATTGAAATTTT